AACATGAAAAAACAGGTCTAAAACAGGACAAAACCAGGACTACACTAGGTCTAAAACCAGGTCTAAACCAGGTCTAAACCAGGTCTAAAACCAGGACTAAAACCAGGTCTAACCAGGTCTAAAAACCAGGTCTAAAACCAGGTCTAAACCAGGTCTAAACCAGGTCTAAAACCAGGTCTAAACAGGAACAAAACCAGGACTACACCAGGTCTAAAACCAGGTCTAAACCAGGTCTAACCAGGTCTAAAACAGGACAAAACCAGGACTACACCAGGTCTAAAACCAGGTCTAAACCAGGTCTAAAACAGAACAAAACCAGGACTACACCAGGTCTAAAACCAGGTCTAAACCAGGTCTAAACCAGGTCTAAAACCAGGTCTAAACCAGGTCTAAAACAGAACAAAACCAGGACTACACCAGGTCTAAAACCAGGTCTAAACCAGGTCTAAAACAGAACAAAACCAGGACTAACACCAGGTCTAAACCAGGTCTAAACCAGGTCTTAAAACAGGAACAAAACCAGGACTAACCAGGTCTAAACCAGGTCTAAAACCAGGTCTAAAACAGAACAAAACCAGGTCTAAACCAGGTCTAAAACCAGGTCTAAACCAGGTCTAAACCAGGTCTAAAACAGAACAAAACCAGGTCTAAACCAGGTCTTAACCAGGACTAAACCAGGACTAAAACAGAACTAATTCAGGTCTAATCCAGGTCTCAGAACAAAACCAGGTCTAAAACCAGGTCTAAACCAGGTCTAAACCAGGTCTAAACCAGGTCTAAACCAGGTCAGAAGTGTATGTAAGGTAAATCTTGAGGTTGTGGGTGTTTTGAAGTCTCCGTCAGTCACCTGCACAGACCGCAGTCGCTCGGAGCAGAGGAGCAGAGTGTGTGTGGGGCGGGTTTGGGGTTTGGGGTTTTTGGAGGTTGCCATAACAAACAGTCCAATGGCACACTGTGGTTTAGATGAGCCTGATACGGACCAGATAATCAGATTTAAACTCTGAAACGGTCTTTTGTGACGCACTCTGGACTCCAAACAGATAAGACAGAGACCGGTCGCAAAAACAACTAAAATAAAAAGGTACCATATATGTTTCAAACTCAATTTAGACTCGATTCTAAATACAGATTCTGATACCACGATGATAATTTTTAAAAAAAACAACAACAAAAAAACACTTTCTTTAGACAATAGAAGGTGAAAAACAGCAATTTGTAAAGTTAAAGCAGCAAAATGGAATGAAGAAAGACACCAAGAAGCAAAAAAAGTTAATATCCTTATATCCTTAAACCATAAAAAAAAGAAACTAGAACTAAGAGAACTAAAAATGAGGTACTTTTTGATAAAATTCTAAACAAAAAAATGCTGTATATTTTGGTTGACATTTGCGACAGGTTTAAAACAAGGTTCCCAGTCTTTTTCACAAAATTTCAAAACTTTTCCATGACTTTTCCATGACCTAAAGTGAATTTTCCATGACTTTACGGCACCTGCATGTGTAAAATTGATCAGACTTTTATTCCTGTGGATCAATCCTGCCCATCGCCTTCGACTTTCACTATTTTTCAATTCCGTTGGGAGAGAAACAGTTTGAACAGAAGTTTGAGTCACACACATCCAGTGTTGGGGAGTAACAGATTACATGTACCAGAGTTAAGTAATCAGAGTACAAATTATGAGTAACTGTATTCAGTTACAGTTACTGTTTCAGTGAGTGGTAATTGGATTACAGTTACTTTGTTGAAAGTAAATGGATTACATGGAGGTATTTTCCTGTTTTTACATTTTGGGCTAAACCAGGATTAAAACCAGGATGAAAAACTAAGTCTAAACCAGGACTAAACCAGGTCTAAACCAGGACTAAACCAGATCTAAACCAGGACTAAGCCAGGTCTAAACCAGGACTAAACTAGGACTAAACCAGGTCTAAACCAGGACTAAACTAGGACTAAACCAGGTCTAAACCAGGACTAAACTAGGACTAAACCAGATCTAAACCAGGTATAAACCAGGACTGAACCAGGACTAAACCAGGACGAAACCAGATCTAAACCAGGACTAAACCAGGACTAAACCAGGTCTAAACCAGGACTAAACTATGACTAAACCAGATCTAAACCAGGTATAAACCAGGACTGAACCAGGACTAAACCAAGACTAAACCAGGTATAAACCAGGACTGAACCAGGACTAAACCAAGACTAAACCAGGTATAAACCAGGACTGAACCAGGACCAAACCAGGACTAAACCAGGTCTAAACCAGGACTAAACTAGGTCTAAACCAGGTATAAACCAGGTCTAAACCAGGACTAAACTAGGTCTAAACCAGGTCTAAACCAGGTCTAAACCAGGACTAAACTAGGTCTAAACCAGGTCTAAACTAGGTCTAAACCAGGATTAAACCAGGACTAAACCAGGACTAAACCATGCTGTGAGGACCATGTCTCCTCTTTTTCTATCAATAATATTTTTAATTTGGTTCAGTAAAGACTGGATT